AGGAGTAGAGGTAGTAATGTGTGCATAACACCTTCTCCAAAGTACATTTTCCCCTTGCTAATTTACCACAAAGAAGCTAGGCACAGCTGTTTCAGCTCTAGATCCTAAAGCCTGGGAATCAGATTTCTAGCAATGCATTCAACTTTACATTTCAATATAACTAAATAATTTAGAGATGTCTTTAAATACCGCCTGATGGAAATGCACCTGTGTAATATCATCACTTGCCTCTCTAACTGAAATGTTAGTCGTTTTCAATTTCTTTTTCTTCTCCAATACATCATCTACTTACCCCATTTCCTCTCTATATTCTGTCTTTACACATTACCTCTCCCTCGTTTCAATAACCCTAGAGCGAGATGCTGGATTGAAACAACTGTCTCTTACAGAGCTTCCCCCCAATTCATATCGCCTTCATTTCTACACAAAGCAATAAGAATTATCTTCCACCAACAGCTGTTTTCAGTAATAAGAAAGCTAAGTTCTGTGACTAAGCTAAACATCCCTTCTGTTCTCTGAGGCCTACAGTGGTTCCTAGTTGCTAGTGGTACTGATGTGAACTCTCCAAATACTGCTCATTATGTCCTTTATGAACTCTCAATGACCTGTCTACATTTTCCGACATATTCAAATTTATGTTTTCTATTCCATTTAGTCCGACAACCATGTATTAACATGATTAATTCGTTTCTTGTTTTCTTTACCATTATAGTAGGAACTATTTATTCTCCCGTATACTTATTCTCTCCTTCCTTAACAATAGATATTCTAACTTTAATCCGGGCATATTGGCTGTCCAGGATAAAGACTAGATTTTTCAGCCTCTCTTGCAGCTAGGAGTGACGAGTGACTAAGTGCTAAAGAATGATATGCAAGCCAACACGTTATGAGCCACTTCAATAAGTGTCTTTAAGGGGAATGAGTACTCATACTTTTTTTTCGATTTTATTTATTTATTTGGGAGAGAGAGAACACAAGCAGAGGGAAGGGCAGAGGGAGAAGCAGACTCTCCACTGAGCAGGGAGCCCGACCCAGGGCTCGATCCCAGGACCCCAGGATCATGACCTGAGCTGAAGGCAGAGAGTTAACTGACTGAGCCACCCAAGTACCCCCAGAATATTCATATTTTTAAGCTCTTCTCCTTCCTACTGGCTAGAAGTCAGATGTGATGGCTGGAGCTCAAACAGCTATCTTGGATTATGAAGTGGAAGTCACATGATGAGTCTGGTGGAGTGACAAGACAGAAAGACCCCTGGGTCCCTGACATCATGAAGAGCCGTATCGTATCAGTCCTAGAATATCTAGTTCTGGATAATTTCTAGAAGAGAGAAAAAAATCCTATTATGTTTAAGCTGTTAACATTTTTGTGGCCTCTTCTACCATCACTTCTGGGAATGCCTAATTCTAATCGATCCATCTATCTCCAAGTTTTCATTTGCTACTTCTGTCCCACTAAGAATGCTCCCCCAATTTATTTTCTTATCTCCCTCAGCACCCCCCACACACCAAATTGTCAGTTTTCTTTCTTCCTTTAAAATACAGCTTCTGGGGGCGCCTGGGTGGCTCGGTTGTTAAGCATCTGCCTTCAGCTCAGGTCATGATCCCAGGGTCCTGGGATCGAGCCCCACATTGGGCTCCCTGCTCTGCGGGAAACCTGCTTCTCCCTCTCCCACTCCCCCTGCTTGTGTTCCCTCTCTTGCTGTGTCTCTGTCAAATAAATCAATTAATTAAATAAAAAATCTTAAAAAAATACAGCTTCTGGGGTGCCTGGGTGGCTTAGTCGGCTAAGCACCACTCTTGGTTTCAGCTCAGGTCATGATCTCATGGTTGTGAGATCCAGCCCCACGTTCCCCCTCTGTGTGCACTTGCTCTCTCTCTAAAATAAATAAATCTTTGAAAATAAATAAATAAATAAATAAAATACAGCTTCAGATTCAATGCCTACATGGAAACGGTTAGTATTGCTAAGCTTAATACAATTACTCTTTTTTGAATGCAAACACACACATCTATATATCTAGTATGTGTATGTGTATATATACATAGTGATGGATAAACGAAGTTTTTATTTATTTTTATTTATTTTTAAATTTTATTTTATGTTATGTCACCATACATTACATCATTAGTTTTTGATGTAGTGTTCCATGATTCATTGTTTGCATATAACCCTCCGTGCTCCATGCAATACGCTGCCCTCCTTAATACCCATCACCGGGCTAACCCATCCCCCCAACCCCCTCCTTCTAAAAGCCTCAGTTTGTTTCTCAGAGTCTATAGTCTCTCATGGTTCATTTCCCCCACTGATTTCCCCCCCTTCATTTTTCCCTTCCTACTATCTTCTTCTTCTTTTTTTTTTTTTTTAACATATACTGTATTATTTGTTTCAGAGGTACAGGTCTGTGATTCATCAGTCTTACACAATTCACAGCACTCACCATAGCACATACCCTCCCCAGTGTCCATCACCCAGCCCCCCCATCCCTCCCACCCCCCACCACTCCAGCAACCCTCAGGTTGTTTCCTAAGATTAAGAGTTTCTTACGGTCTGTCTCACTCTCCAGTTGAAGTTTTTAAATAATTTAACAGATTTTTAACAAATTTACTAACTTTTTACACCCAAACATTCACTATTCACTTTTAAATAGTACTCTTACTATAAATTCATTTTGATGATGCCATCATTCACCAAAACTCCTTTTGAACATCTTTTTTTTTTTAAACAGGCTGAAAACCATCACTAGATATAACTTCCAAGAGCGCAGAAATACACCCAATTTGGTTACCAGTCCTGGAACAGTGTCTGGCATTTAGTTAAGTAGTCAATACATGTTTACTGATATGAAAAAAAATTAATTGTAGCAAAACTTCATTTGAAGGTAGACTGACTTTTTAAAAATAGTTAAAAGTCATTCCAAGCTCAGTTTAGTGAATAAGATGTGTCATAAAGCTATAGCAAATATCATTTGGGCTTAAAAAAAAAAAAAGCAGTGACTATAAAGCAATAAACTTGATTTCCTTGTATGAATCATAAAAATGGCTCAGAGCTGGGCTACTTCTTTGGCAATTTAAAGATTCATTTCCTAAGCTTACAGGTAAGTAAGCCAAGCTCCCTCCAGTTTGCACCTGGAGTTCCCTTTTCCCGGAATACCCCAGATATACATGGATTGTCCCCTCACTTCATTTGGGTCTCTGTCTAAATTTCCACCTCCTCCAAAAGGCCTTCCTTCACTCCCTGACCTAAAGTAAAGCCATCCTTGTCACTCTCTGTCCCCTAATACTGCATTCCTTTTATTTATAGGACTTGTTCCTAACATAATATTTTATATCTATTTTGTTTATGTATGGTTAGTAGCTGTCTCTGTCACTAGAATATTTGCTCCATGATGAAAGGGACTATGTTGGGCGCCTGGGTGGCTCAGTTGGTTAAGCGACTGCCTTTGGCTCAGGTCATGATCCTGGAGTCCCGGGATCGAGTCCCGCATCAGGCTTCCTGCTCAGCGGGGAGTCTGCTTCTCCCTCTGACCCTCCCCTCTCTCATGTGCTCTCTCTCCATCTCTCATTCTCGCTCTCTCAAATAAATAAATAAAATCTTTAAGAAAAAAAGAAAGAAAGGAAGGAAGAAAGAAAGAAAGAAAGAAAGGGACTAGGTTTTCCTCACTGCTATAGCTTCAAATTTCTGCTCGATATCCAAATTTCAAATAAATTCCATAAATGTAAGTTTAAAATGAAAGAGAAAGGAAGAGAGAAAAGCAGTGGAGGGAGAACAAGAAAGGCAACAGAGAAGTAGCAAAAGGAGTGAAGAAACTCTGGGTGAATTATAATTGGTGATTTTACTCTGTAACTCCTTTTCTGTATTAGTTTGAACCAAAGGCTTCCATGAGAAAATTTCGGAATGGGTCTCTTACCACTCCTGGAGATTTATTTCAAAATAAAATGGCTACCCTAAAGAAAGAGGTTTCACTACATTTAGAAGGATGTAGATGGCATTTGCTGTCTTTTACTGTCTTTCCATCTCTCCAGTCCACACAAGCACAAACTGAGTGAACATTTAACTCTTGACTGAGTCAGAGAAGTACTTTAGTGATTTTTAGCAGGATTGCTCCATGTTGGTATTACTATTAACATTCTTAATTTCCATACTTAACTGACATTTGGAACATCTGTTCATACTGAATACCTGCAGTTCTTTCAGGATCTTGCTTAATAGAATTACATGATAAAGCTAGGAGACAAGCCTCTGAAAATACTTTCAACTATCTGTTACTCCTGCTGTGCCCCTCACTTACAGCACCTGAAGTTTAGTTCCTTTCAAGGAACAGTGAGTCAAGTCACATTTCTTTAATGCTTTTTGCCTCCTCAAACTGTCCATTTCTTATACAAAACTTATCAACAGGGTTTGTACTGGAGAAGATAGAGCACAATGGCATTCCTTTATATTTTAGCAAATTTAATAGAAAAGATAATTTCATTTTCCTACTGACTTCCATAACATTACAAAAAAATCACTTTTTTAAAAAAAGGTTCAGTTCATATTTAAAATTTTAGGCAAAGGAAAGAGTTATATAATATGAGGCACTGTCGTCCTGTAGGAGTTTTAGAGACTTCCAGAATTGTGAGGCACATTTAAGAAAATGTTAATTTCTTGATTGGTAGGATCAAACAGCACAAAACGCACAGATACCCGGACCTTGAGTCTCACATTCCAGTTATGATTAAAATCTTAAAATGAATCATGATGCCAAATAAGTAGTCACTACTTTAATACCATTTAAGCTCAAAAATCCCGTTTTATTTGAAACCCAGATAAACTGCATTCAGAAAATAGTCATAAAATTTTCTACTATTATTCTTCATCTTTGTTTTGTACAGTACAATGTCTAACATAATAGGAATACTCATACAGTATTAATATTTCAGTACTAAAACCTAATTTTATATTTTTTAATTGTTCTTAAATGATACCTACTACACTGTAGGACAGTGTTCATTATACGTACTTTTATTATGTAGGCTTGCAACCTTAAGAAGTTTACGTTTCTTCTCTGAAGCAGGAGTTTCTGGTGTGTGGGCAGAAGCACATGCTGTTGGTGAGTTAGCTGTACCAGGTAATCTTTTAGGAAATGTCATAGAGTAGGAGGTGCGCTGTCTTGTCCGACATGCTACTTCCCTCTCTCTACGCAGCAACTGTTCATCCATCAGCAATGTTATGACTTGCTTAGACTTTTCCCGGATATAATAACCTGAAAAATACATTGAATTTGCGTAGGTAAGGAAATATTCATTGAGGTTACAATTAATTTTTATTCTAAAGAAAATTAGGGAAAAAAATGTAAGCAACGTAGCAAAGCAAAAAAATCTGTAGCAAATGTACAGGGAAAACTAAGTTTCACTGGAATTGTCAGTAAGTACTCCATTTCTTACACCCTAAGAAGAAAATAAATGTATGCTGAAATCATATCACATATGGACATGAAATTTTTCACTTTAAATATGCTATTTTCTTTTAAAAGCAATATACACTCTGCAATAAATCAAACAATACAGGCATAAAAGAGAAATGAATTAGATCTAGATATATTACCATGACACACAGCTGAAGATTTAAAGTAATAGGCATGGTATGATTCAAATTGGTAAAGCACAGAGGAAAATCAATCATTATGTATGTATAGGAGAGAGAAGTTGATAGAGAAGTACATGGGTGGGTGGGTGGGTGGATGGATGGATGGATGGATGGGGAGGCAGACGACCAGCTGGGTCCCCACATGTTAATATCTGCTACCTTAAAGGAGTACAATTGGGGTGGAACAAGAGTAGGGAGGGCCATTAGATTTTCTTTGACATAACAGCTTTTCAAAACAACTTGATGCCATTAATAGAGTGCCAGAGCACAGTCTAAGACCAGAATCCTAACGACAATGCTGTCTTTAACCATCTGTGTGACTCTGATATGTTAGGCGGTCTGTCTGTGCTTGAGTTTTCTATGTGAAAACCAGTAGAAGCATATCTGTTCAGTGTAATTTACAGATATAAAAGTATACTCACTCCAATATATGGCATTATTGTTACTATTCTCAATCCCCTCCCATGAAAAATGATAAAGGAAAACCACTTCCCTCTCCACATCTTTGGACCAACTCATATTATAACATCTCATGTTTTCCCAAGTCTTCTTTCAGAAGTAAAATGAAAAGTCCCTAAAGATCCACTACTATGTTCATTTTGGGCTCTAAGCATGATGAATTGAAATGTTAATACATCCAACTATAAATTACTAGCAGTGGAAGTAATGAGAAATGGTCAAATGTAGGGTGCATTTAGACAAAAGAGGCCAACCTGTTCTCTGCCCGTCATTTCATTAAGGACTGCTATGGACAGTGGCAGAAACCTTTGCTCAAGTTGCCGTCTTTCCCAAGATTATTTTATCTACTCTTAATCTCATTTCTTAGTCACTTCCACCTTCCAAACTTCTTGTATAACTGCTCTGAACTGTATTATTCTTGATACCCTTAATTTCCTATGAGTAATTTGTAGTCCATAAACAAAAAAGTCCCGCAGTGTTTTGGGTTACCACTCAGTGTCGCCTGATAGAAGCCTGCTGGAACTGTCAGCCCTTGGGGACGACGTGCCAGACACTACTTTTTCCCTGGAAAACTGCTGTAGCTTGGTTTGGGGAAGGGGTGAAAAACTTGTTTTTCCATTTCTAACTTCACAAAAATTCATCTCCTTCTGCTTCCTCTCTCTCCCTCTACCCTAGCCACTCTGACTGCCTTCTTCTGTAATCACACCAGGCTCTGTGTCTCCTTCAAGCTGTGTGCTAGCTGTTGCTGCCAGGGACTCTGCATGGTTAGGTCCCTAATTCATTCAAGTCTCTACTCAAATGTCACCTCCTCAGAGAAGCCTTCCTTCTGCCCACCCTCTCTAAAATAGCCCCATTCCCATCACTCTCTATTCCCTTACCTACATATGTATGTGTATATATAAATGCATATTTTTGTGTATATTTATTTGTATATATACACAATAATATATAATAATATTTTTATATATACATTTGTTTACTTGTTTACTGTTTGTTTCCTCACCTACAATACCAGTTCCATGAGGGCAGAGAGCCTCATTCACCCAGTATCTCCAAGTGTCCGGAAGAATGATTGGCACATAGGGGATACTCAATAAATCTTTACTCTGTAAATGAATTGATAAAGGAGCAAATTATCAAAAGTCTCCATTTTCTCCCTGACATAGTGCAAATGGAACCAGATGGATGAAAGATACTGAATACCAATTTACAATGTAGCTGCCTGAGAAAGTTGCCTGGCCTGAAAGAGTTTCTTGCAACACCCTTGATTACAAAAGGTCAGAACTAGAAATTATTGGACAGATGTGAATTATTTCGCTTGGAGTCTGCATGAATTGGTGGGACTTGAAAGCAGATACAAAAGTTCAAAGGTCCAAGCAGGTACATCAAGCAGAAACTCAGCCGCAGTGACAAAGCACTTCTCCCTGAAATATCAGGGCTCCTCCCTGAGGGAGCAGGTTGACAGATGGGGAAGGTCAAGCCACAGCGATTTACTTCTCACTTGAGGCTGTGTACTGCCCTGGCTACCTCCCCACCACCCTCGAGATGCTGGAGAGTAGAAACCTGGCTGTTCTAAAGCATCGAAGTTGAAAGTGAAAAAAAATCCAAGAACCCAATAAACGTGCTTCAAGGATGAGTTAAATAATAACAATAGTACTAACAAGATGGCATCTCCACCTTACTAAGGCAGAATTGTACCGGAATAGAACACATGTAGGAAGTAACCCTTTGTGTCTGGGAGGGAGAAAGAAAAAGGGGGGAAGAAGGTGGGAGGGAGAGGGAGAGGACAGACAAAGGGAGGGAGGAAACATGGATTCTCTGAAATGAGAAATCAAACTGTGAACCAGATCAATACCCAAAGATATATCAAGACGTAAAGCTTGTGACTGAGGTGAAGGGTAAAGTAAAAATAAAGCTATATTCTGTTTTAATTAGGATCTTTGGGTTTTAAGTGACAGAAACTCAAATGGAACTGGCCATGGGAAAACCAGGGGTTGTGAAGCTGGGCCTCAAGTACAAAAGAGGCAGAGACTGGAGAACTACCAGGATTCCCTTTCCCTCTCCCAGCCCTTCTTTCCTTTGTGTAATACCTTCATTCTCTCCTCCTGCACACTGGCTTCCTCCATCTGAATGTGGACATGGCCACAGACAGCTCATGCCTCACACTCTGCCACTGAGAAGCCTCCCTCTTCCTTCATTCAAGTTGGAAAAACCCAGGAGAATGACTTGGCTTGGCCCAGCTTGAAAGTCACACGCCCATCCCCTTGGCCAGAGGGTGGTATGCTCCCATCAGCAACCCCCATCAGAAAGGCCCAGTGGAGGGGAGAGTCAACAGGATAAAAAAATGAACGAACAGAAAGCCAACTTGAGGAGGCATCCCCAACTCAGACAACGGACAAGGACATACAAATTACTAGAGCAACTATGTGCCAGACCAATACCCAAGATACTCACTTATTCACTTAGGCAGTCATTTGATCATTTCTTGAACACGTAAGTCAGGAATTGTTCTAGAAGCACAAGTGAGGAAAAAATAGACGAGATTCCCCAAACAAGATAATTTCAGATAAAAATAAATGCTCTGAAGGAAATAAAGAACAGTGAGGTGCTAAACATCAAGTTGTGGTGCAGTGAAGAAAAGTTGTATCACCTGCATCTTGAACAGCAAGAAAAAGCCAGCCCTGCAGACATCCAGGCAGAGGGACCAGCTTGGACTTCACTTCTTCAGGAAGCCTCCTGCTGAGAGAGAGCAAGCCCCTCCCGGCTCGCCCTGCGCATACATGCTCAGGCCTGGTTTCCACACTCTTCAGGCACCTGCACTTGTCTCTTACAGCACTTCCACAGCCTGTAATTGCTTATTGATTTGATAAGTGTCTTCTTCCTCCATTACAGCATAACATCCATGAAGGCCAGAATTATACCTGTTTGCTTAAGAGTTACTTCAGAAATGTCTGTTAAATAAATGAAGGAACATGCTGAGGAAAAATGTCCCAAATGCTGGGGAGGAGTGTCTGTAAATGCATAAATGAGCATCATGTAAAGGGATCTGGAAATACGGTAAATTCACAGATGTTGGGCAATGAGATGCGCCAGCAGCAAAGACACACACCAGACTTCTAGAAAAACATGTACTAGGCTTGAAACTGTGGTCATAAAATATCTAACACCCCTCCCTCCATACCTGACCCACTAACCAATCAAAATTTCTTCCTCTTCTTATATTCCTTTCTCAATGAATTTTATCTCCATTCTAAGCCTGAAATATGAACGTTCACCTTCCCACACTCAGTACCCCATGTCTACTGATGGTACCAACTAGGTACCTTCTAACACATCCTCTCTTCTCCATCTCCCTTAGTTCAGGCCCAGCTCATATCTTGCTTGTGGAGTTCTGAATTGTTTACTTATCTCAAGTCTCCCTTACCCTCTATCCTCCACAATGTCTCTGAAGGTGAGGGTGGGCATAGGGAGGGAGGGGAAGAGTATCCCCAACAGTGTTATTTTCAAGTTAAAAAAAACCTTCAGTCAAGCTGGCCCAGTAAGTTCATGCTTCAAAGTACCCCTCTGCTCTGCTCCAAATACACAGCAATAAGAGACATTACCAGTCTCAAAAACAAGATAAAAACCTCCACAAACCAGAAATGTATGAGAAATGAAAAGGTGATGAGCAGGGCTGAAGCCCCGGGGCTGCTGGGCTCTTGATCTAGCAGCCAGGAGCTCAGCTCCTCAGGTGTTAGGGAACCAGAGCTGGTCTCACTCTTTGATGTTAGGGGGTATCCGTGTTTGTGAGAAAAGACTGAGAAGAAAAGAAAAAGAAGGGAAAAAAAACCAGCTGCTAATTGCTTCCTGGGCTGTCACATATTTGTAGCTGTGGGTCCGGAAGCCAGGAGACAGGAGTGCAGCCTTAAGGCTGGGAACTAAACCGGGCCACCCCCCGCCTCTGTGACTGCATCTAAGACACTCTGGTTCTATCACAGGGCATGAGCCCTGAGATGCCTTTGTAAGGGCTATACTGGAGCCTCTAAGGACCTGGGTGGCAAGAACTGAAAACCAACATAAGAGGGTGAACATAGATGATGGAGGAAGACTCTCCCAGTCAAAATAAGATAGAAGACTAACATTCCAACATAGTTTTTTACAAAAAATCTAATGCTTATG